GTTGAATATTGGCCTCCACTCTCTTCTGGCTTGTAGAGTTTCTGCTGAGAGATCGGCTGTTAGTCTGATGGGGTTCCCTTTGTGGGTAACCCAACCTTTGTCTCTGGCTGCCCTTAACATTTTTTCCTTCCTTTCAACTTTGGTGAATCTGACAATTATGTGTCTTGGAGTTGCTCTTCTAGAGGAGTATTTTTGTGGCGTTCTCTGTATTTCCTGAATTTGAATGCTGACCTGCGTTGCTAGGTTGGGGAAGTTCTCCTGGATAATATCCTGAAGAGTGTTTTCCAACTTGGTTCCATTCTCCCCGTCACTTTCAGGTACACCAGTCAGATGTAGATTTGGTCTTTTCACGTAATCCCATATTTCTTGGAGGCTTTGTTCATTTCTTTTTACTCTTTTTTTCTCTAAACTTCTCACTTCATTTAATTCATTTGATCTTCAATCACTGATACCCTTTCTTTCAGTTGATCGAATCGGCTACTGGAGCTTGTGCATGTGTCACATAGTTCTTGTGCCATGGTTTTCAGCTCTATCAGGTCATTTAAGGACTTCTCTGCATTGGTTATTCTAGTTAGCCATTCGTGTAATCTTTTTTCGAGGTTTTTAGCTTCTTTGCGATGGGTTCGAATATCCTCCTTTATTTAGCTCGGAGAAGTTTTGAGTATCTGAAGCCTTCTTCTCTCAACTCGTCAAAGTCATCCTCTGTCCAGCTTTGTTCCATTGCTGGTGAGGAGCTGCATTCCTTTGGACGAGACGAGGTGCTCTGATTTTTAGGAGTTTCAGCTTTTCTGCTCTGGTTTTTCCCCATTCTTGTGGTTTTGTCTTCCTTTGGTCTTTGATGATGGTGACGTATAGATGGGGTTTTGGTGTAGATGTCCTTTCTGTTTGTCAGTTTTCCTTCTAACAGTCAGGACCCTCAGCTGCAAGTTTGCTGGAGGTCCACTCCAGACCCTGTTTGCCTGGGTATCACCAGCGGAGGCTGCAGAACAGTGAATATTGCAGAACAGCAAATGTTGCTGCCTCATCGTTCCTCTGGAAGCTTCATCTCAGAGGGGCACCTGGCCATATGAGGTGTAATTTGGCCCCTACCGGGAGGTACCTCCCAGTTATGCTACTTGGGTGTCAGGGACCCACTTGAGGAGGCATCTGTCTGTTCTCAGATCTCAAACTCTGTGCTGGGAGAGCTACTCAAAGCTCAGTTGGAAATGCAGAAATCACCCGTCTTCTGCATTGCTCACGCTGGGAGCTGTAGACTGGAGCTGTTCCTATTTGGCCATCTTGGAACCTCCCTCTTCATTTATTTGTTACAGAAATATTTACTGACCTCCTAATCTTCATGCCAGGACTTTTGGTGAGTAAGACAAAAGGCTCTCATTTTCACTCAACCTCTCTGTCCCCATTTCTTGGACAAATTGTGTAGGACATTTTAACATTGAGCAAGTATTCATCCATCCATCCATCCATCCATCCATCCATCCATCCATCCATTCAGTATGTGTTTGAGTATGTATAATACAAATACATTATTGTGAGATATTAAAAAAAGGACATCTTTGCTCCCAAGGACCTTGCAAGCTTGTTTGTTCACCAACCAGTCATTTATTTAAACAAAAAAAATAAGTGCCTTGAGCTAGTAGGCAATGTGCCAGGTCAGTGCTAGGGAAATACAGAGATGAACAAGAGCATACAGTCGGTCCCTGGAGGGCTATGCCTCAGCCTGGAGAGGCAAGCAGCTTGTAACATCTTTGGAAGCATGCAGTGTGGTAAATGACAATAATGAGCTCTTCCCACTGTACTGCGAGAGTGCAAAGGATGAGCACAGAAGTGGAGTTTCCAGAATTAGTTCTGTGTGGGTGAAAGGTCAAGATATGACTCTCCATCTGACTTTTTAGTTGAGTCTGGAGAGAAGGGTTGGCTTGGAAAGGAGATTGGAGGGAGTTCCAATCAGAAGAAACAGTTTAAGTGATGATAAAGAGCTATAAGGCACGATGACAACTTTACAAAACTGCAGATACTTTATTTTGATTTGGCTATGGAAGGTGGGGGTAGATGAATTCTAATGTAGTGAAACAATTGCAACAGGAATGTCAGTAACTAAGTCCTTGTAGTATTGGCACAATATGTAGTTCAATGAAACAGATAGCCCAGATATGGACAAACATACTATGTGATAAAGTGGATATCACAAATCAACAGGGTGTTAAGTAATAATATTGAGACGATTGATAAAGTATTTGGAAAAAAAATAGATTCTTACTCCAGATGATTTTTAGTTAGGGCTTAGTGGCTAGGCATTTAGGAATTTGAGAATTAGGATTGCTTTCTGTGAATTAAAATTTAAGATCAACAATTTAAGATCAACAGTAATTAAAAAATAAGATCAACAGAGGGTGGGTGGGTGTGTATATGTAAAACAAGTTATCTTAACCAAATATCTTGCCTACTGCCTACTGCCACCTCGTTGAATGTGTCAATCCTATGAACATGGCCAGCTTCATGGGCCCTGCACTCACGAGGGCCGTGCATTTGGTTTAATGCTCTGCTCTTGTTGTCCTTTGGAAAGTCTTAATTCCATATATGGTTTTGTTTGTTTGTTTGTTTTGTTTTGTTTTGCACTGGACCATACAAATTATGTAGCAGTCCTGCCTGTGAAGTTGGCCATCTCTGGGGCAGAAAGTTAGAGAGCCAAGCTTTAGAAGTAGATGTCCTTGTGCTCTCTAGAGAGTTGCAGCCAACCCAGTTGAAGTATCCTGGACACATTGGCAGGGCCATCCCTATATAGTGCCTCAGGCTGTCCAGCCTGATGCCATGAAACATTCAATTTATTTAACAAAGTTTCCTATTTCCCATTTCCTGCTCACCAAGCAATCTTTCAGTAGTGACTTGGCTGCTGCTTTGGTTTTCCAGCAGGGAGAGATCTAGCTAGTTGTGCTGGTCCGATCCTTCATTCAGGAAGGTAGTTAGTAAATTGGCATTCTGGTTTCATATGTCAGTGAGATTCTTTAATGTGAGCCTGCTTCTGCATGACTGGTCCATTTCTGTTACATTTCTGAGACTGAAGGCTGAAGTCCAGGAATTATGCTGGTAAATTCACCAAAGCAGTCATGTGTAGAATAGTGGTTAAGAGCAAGAACTTTGGAGTCAAGACAGACAATCCTGGATAAAATGTGGGTCCTGTCACTTACTAAGATGTATGATCTTGGCTTTCCTGTGCCCTACTCTTTCATCTGTCAAGTGATGACGTTAACATCTACCTTAAGGTTGTTGTGAGGTTGAATGAGATGATGTACTTTCAATCAGGGTTTCTCAGCCTCGGTACTGTTGACATTTTGGGCCAGGTAATTCTTTCTGTTCAGGGTGGAGCGTTTGGTGCATCGTAGGATGTTTCCAGCATCCTTAGCCTGTACCCAGTAGATGCTAGTGGCATCCCTCTAACCCCCTATAGTTATGACAATTAAAATGTCACAGAGGTGGAATCCCCCCTGTGGAGGGCACAATAGGACTTGGTTAAGAGTCACTGGTCCAGGTGTATAGAGTGGTGCCTGGGGGAAAGAAAGTGTTTTATGGTGTAATAATGGGAATAGTGGTACCAAAGATGATGCTACTTTCGATGCCACCCTGAGGGCCCTAGGAAGACATTTGTCAGCCTTTCATTTATTCTTTGTACTTAAATTTTTTATCTATGCCAGAATAAACTCCATATAGATTAAATAGTACATGTAAAAAGCTCTACCTTTAAACAACTGAATGAAAAAAGAAGTAAATCTTTAGATTTGCAAATAAGGAAAGGGTTTTCGAGGTCAAAAGAAGTGATACTTCTGTGATGTTTAATGTTGGGTTTAAAACACAATGGGAAATTTTCTTTCCTCATATATGTCATGACATTAAAAATAAACATGCATAATCTATAAAAACCTTGTAGTTATAATTGAAAAGCAAATTGGATAAAATGATTGAGTAATATGACAGATAAAGTGGTATGAAAATACTAATTTAAGTCAAAAAGAAAACCAGATATTTCCTATAGATAAGGACAAAAGAGGAAATACAGTCGTCCTATAAACATTTGAAAATGGTTCAAATTTAGTAATTAAAAAAAAATTTTAAATTATTTAAATTGGCAAAGATTTTAAACAATAGCATCCAATTCTGTTGTACAGTTAGGGAAGTCTTATTACATATTTTTTATAGGACAATGGATAGGCACAGCCCTTCTAGAAAGAAACATGGGATAAATGTGCCCTAAAAATTCTCATACTATTTAGCCCCCCAAAATAAGTTTGGGAATAACGCCTACAGCATAATCTGAAATGTAGACAAATATTGATGCATGAAAGTGTTTATTTCAAAGTTGTTTTAATATAAGCCAGCTAAATGTTCAGTATTGGAGAAGTAGTTAGTTACAGCATATGGTAATCTGCAATCCTTAAATGCAGTATTTACACAGTGTTTCTAACGACATGCAAAATTCTTATAGTGTTAAATGAAAAAAGCAGGTTTTTAAGTTGCATATGCAATATAAGCTCAACCCAGAAAAAAGACTGGAAGGAAATATCCAAAATGTTAATATTTGTCCCTGAAATACACAAAACGTTAATATTTGTTCCGTAATATTTAGATTATGGATAATTTGTGAAAGTCACAACTGTATGATTAAATTGATCATTTCATGACAGACAGCCTTTTCTTTTGTTTCTGTTCTTTTAGGTAATGTTTAGATACTATGCCTTGGAAATGAAAATGAAAGGGTTTAGGCTATGTTTCTCTAAATGGGAGAAATCAGAAAGTGTCAATGCCCAAAAATACAGCTTCATTTTTAAGTAAATTATAAATTGCAATATGAAACCAGTTTTGGAGGGTTAACCTGCTTCCCCTGGATGAGGTGAATTAATGGTTTTTTATACCGTGGTACTCTTTTTGTTCATTAGGTGTTAACGATGTACTCATTGCAGTATGGTTTTTGATGAAACAATCTAAGATGTTCATTTCTGTTTTTATAGTATGTGCAGAAGCTTATAATCCTGATGAAGAAGAAGATGATGCAGAGTCCAGGGTATGTAATTTACTGAATGAATGAATTTTAAATTGATGCCCTTGTCATATCTAAGGAAAATAATCATAGAAAAAATGTTAACAGGCATGCAGGTTAACAGGAGACATAATGGAATTATTTTGACTATTTCTTTTCCTAGTCTCATCTCCAATAGCCTACTCCTGCTGAGTCTTGCAGAATTATTTTTATCCAAAGAGTATAAAGAGATATATTTTATCTCTTTACAAAATATATCCTAGTGAGGAAAAATGTTTTCAGCTGTCTTTCTCATAGTGATATTATTTTTCTTAGACAGTGTTTCTAGTAAACAAAAATACTGGGAAAGACCTTCTACTCCTCTTAATTTATAACAACAGAAAGTTACTCTGAAACAAACAAATCACAGTAAAATCACATCCAGTGTGTCAGTACAGCAGTTAGGATTATTTTTTAAATCTGTGAGTCTTCATCGTTTGCTCAGCAGCTGACTTCTTGCAGGCCCTAATGTTTTTGTAAGAATTTGTCCGCTGTGATTTCAGCAGTTTTTAAGCTATGTCTTTCAGCTCAGTTCTATTGTTTATTTAGTAAAAAGTAAACTAAGAGATGACTATGCCTGGAAATGGAAAGTAATTAAATTTCTGCACCAGCCTCCTCCCCTTTTTTTGAGTACGTATGTTGCAAAAGTGCCTCTTGTTTCTTTGGCCTTAAACAGTATAAACAAAAACTTATTTTTGTACCTCTGAAAAGTACTTAAGTAAGATTGAGGTTTCTTGTGGAGAAGCAGATACTACGTCCCTAAGTCATTACATCATTAAGCTCCTTGAAACATATGTAAAATCCAGTGGTATCAGGAGGCTTACAACATGGAAGATCTTGAAATCCCATTTTATTCCTGGACCCATGGGGATTCCCACTACCAGGGTTGTGGAAGCTCATTTCTCACTATTAGAACTTCAGTTATTTTCATGAAGTTTATAAATCCTAGCCTGGAAATGATGTTGTTTTAGGATTAAGGTATTTTTACTAATCTGTGATGTACTGTTACCCCGCTGTATAGTCTGAAAAACTAGACCTTGCCTACCATATACTTTACTATACCCGTATACTGTATCTAGCAGAAACAGTACTGGGTGACATTGAAGATAACATGCATTCTTTATATGTGTGTATAAACGGATATGATAAAATTTAGTAATTGGGATAAGAGCAATCGAGATGAGCTGGTTTAAATTAATAAAAACCTAAATTAATGAACATTTGCAATACAGTTTAAAGACAATATGCAGTATCTCATTGATTCAAAAGCTGTTAAACCTTGAATTTTAGCTGCCATTTAATTCATGAGGTAAATAAAGTGTTTTGGCAGGTTCACTCCAGCTAATTTCTAACAGTTTTGTTGGGGAGGCTATACCAGTTAAGATTCATTTGGCTGTGTAAAACCTAACCCTATCAAGACAAATGTGAAAAAGAAAACACTGGGGAGAGATTATCAGACAAATGCTTGGAGATCATATTGAACTGCAGAAAGCATTCAAAGGCCAAGCTGTAGGCCTGGCAGGCAGGAGCCAGCTCGCCTCTGGGGTTCATCAAGAGCCAGAGTGTAAGACTTAGCATAGTGTCTTTGAAAGGGGCTCAGCTACTCATCTCTGTTACTGTGTCTCTCAGTTCAAAATTCCAACTTCCCAAGAGTTTCTGATGCACCCAGCTTTGGCCCAGGGTAGGGCCAGGGTCAAAAAGTCCAACCTACTTGGGAACCACTTCTATAAATAAGGACAGTTACTAGAGGAGGAGGAATCTTTGTGGTTGGGCCTTTACTGTAAGAGCTGTCCCCTGTAACACTTTTTAAAGTTATTTTTGATAGTTTTTTTTTTGGTATTTAATGTATTAATTATATGTTTGATTATAGCAAAGTACCTTAGGTTATCAATTAGGTTGAGTATTCTGTCCTCTAAATGTGTTACTAAAAATTGTACTTATTTTGGTCTCAAAAACTATGAGGCATACCACACCACATGCTTGGGAATGATTATTACAGATTTCAAAATTATTTAGATCCCGAAGCATATTGGGAAATATCTATAAGGAAAATGTATACTGTGTTGTGACAAAATTACATTTCATTTGGACATTTTATATTACTTCTGAGACTCACCAAATCCTTAAGTCTGTAGTATAAACAGAAATTTATCCTCTGATACGAATTCAAAGAAAATGTAAATACTTAAGACTCATTTTGGAAAATAACAGATTTTAGTTGGAATGCCTTTAATAAATGAAAATTTAAGGGTTGTCTAAATCTAGCATGTAGAAACTGGTAGAGAACAGTTGATAAACTTAAGGGTAGAGTATTTCTATGCTTCTCCACAAAAATTTTTTGGAGTTCCATCTGCATATCTGGTCTGGTGCTAGATATAAAGTGGTGAGCAAATGGACAAATCTCTGCCCTCTTGGAGCTTACAGTCTAGAGAGAGAAGCAGACAAGTGAATACATTAATGAAAAGTTAAAAAACATGAAGTGCTAAAGAAACAGTGAAACACTGTAGGGATGCAAACGCAAGCCCCAAGCCAGCAGGGACTCTGACATTCTGGAATGGTTGAAACAAGCATCCTTGAGGTGAGGCTGGAAGGATGGGCAGGCAGAGAGTCTTGCCAGAGCCCCTTAGTGCATTTTAGATGGAGCTGAGCCTGGCATCAGGGAAGGCAGGTGGAGCTGGGCCAAATGGCTGCAGTGAGGGTAGAGAAGGAAGGAATGGGGATTTAATTCTCACCAAACGTGATGGAGTCCATTGAGGTTTTAAGCTGGAGAAGGGAATATCCTGATTTAAATTTTTGAAAGATTATTTTCAGCTCCGTGTGGAGAATGGATGGGACAAATACGAAAATATCTTGTATAGATTTCTCTTGCCTGACAGCATAGATACAGTGGTTTTTTGTTTGTTTGTTTGTTTGTTTTTGTTTTTGTTTTTTGTTTTCTGTTTTTTGATTTTTTGGTTTTTTGGTTTTGGAGACAGTCTTGCTCTGTCACTCAGGCTGGAGTGCAGTGGTGCAATCTCAGCTCCCTGCAACCTCTGCCTCCTGGGTTCAAGCGATTCTCATGCCTCAGCCTCCCAAGTAGCTGGGACTGCAGGTGTGCACCACCACATACCTGTCTAATTTTTGTATTTTTAGTAGAGATGGTGTTTCGCCCTGTTGGCCAGGCTGGTCTTGAACTCTTGGCCTCAGGTGATCCACTCACCTTTGCCTCCCAAAGTTAGGATTACTGGCGTAAGCCACTGTGCCCAATCAATATACAGTGTTATTTAAAGAAAATGTCTAAGTTTAAACCTTACTTATTAACTGGTTTTCTTTCTTCTTTTTTTTTTTTTAATGGAAAGGCAGCAAAAATTTAGAGCAGAAGTTGGCAAACTTTTTTTGGTAAAGTTTTTTTTTTTTTTTTTTTAAACTGAAAAATGCACTATTTTCCAAGAGTAAATATTTTAGGCTTTGAGGAGTCAACTACTTTGCAACTACTCAGTTCTGCTGTAGTAGCTTGAAAGCAGCTGTAGGTAATACATCAATGAAAGGCACGTCTGTTGTGTTATATTAAAACTATGACATTTGAATTTGAATTTAATACAGATTTTGTGTGTCAGGAAATATTATCATTTGTTCGATTTTTTTCCCCCAGTCATTAAAAAATGTAAAATTATTCTTAGCCTAGAAGCCATACATACAAAAACAGCTTTGCTTGCAGGTGTAGTTTGCTGGTCCCTGGTTTAGAGTATAGACTCTGTAGCTGGCCTGGCTGGCATGAATCCTGCTGTGTACCTTATGGACTGGATGATACTGGACAAGTGATTTAGGCAAGTTGATTTCCTTAACTCTAAATTTCTTAACTTGCTTCATGGGATCTATCACTAGGATAAAATGAGTTAATATTAGTAAAGCCTTAAAATAGTACCTGGCATGTATTTATGCTACGTTTGTTTAACAAATAACATTTTTATCTGAAGTCAGGAATGAATTTTAATGAAAACCAAAGTGGCCTCTGGTACACTAAAATCACAGTTTGGGTGTATTGCTGAGGCCTCAGTGACCCAGAGACAGATCCCTGAGGTGGTATCACGCCAAGCCCCAGAGGAAAAATGTGGGAGAGTATCTTCAGAGGAGGTGGCTACAGTGCAGAGGAGCCGCAGTGTCAGAGACTGCACCTGCTTTCTGACTGTTTACTTTCCCCAGTGAAGAGGGATTTTACTGACGAGGTTAATTACAGAGAGTGGACTCTGGGTGCTGAGGACTAATGGCAGGGTAAGGGAAAAGGGAAACGGGAAACGGGAGGAGAGCAGTAGACCATAGTGATGGAGGTGGGGCAGAGAAACAAAGACTACTTAGAAATGGTCATTGGGTCGGGCACGGCGACTCACGCCTGTAATCTTAGCACTTTGGGAGGCCGAGGTGGGTGGATCACGAGGTCAGGAGTTCGAGACCAGCTTGGCCAAGGTGGTGAAAAACCCTGTCTTTACTAAAAATACAAAAATTAGCTGGGCACAGTGGCAGGCACCTGTAATCCCAGCTACTCGGGAGACTGAGGCAGGAGAATCGCTTGAACCCAGGAGGCAGAGGTTGCAAGGAGCCGAGATCGCACCACTGCACTTTAGCCTGGGTGACAGAGCAAGACTCTGTCTTTAAAAAAAAAAAAAGAGGCCGGGTATGGTGGTTCACACCTGTAATCCCAGTACTTTGGGAGGCCGAGCCGGACAAATCATGAGGTCAGGAGATTGAGACCCTCATGGCTAACACGGTGAAACCTCATCTCTACTAAAAATACAAAAAAAATTAGGTGTGGTGGCGGGCACCTGTAGTCCCAGCTACTCGGGAGGCTGAGGCAGGAGAATGACATCAACCCAGGAGGCGGAGATTGCAGTGAGTCGAGATCGCACCATTGTACTCCAGCGCCTGGGTGACAGAGTGAGACTCTGTCTCAAAAAAAAAAAGAAAAAAAAATTGTAGAAGTGGTCATTGGTAAGAGAGGTAGGAGGAAGAAGAGAGAAGAAGAAAAAGCTAGATTTCTGTGTGAAGGCTTATAGAAATTGAAAGGGGTGGGGAGAAAGACCTAAAATTGATCAGAGCGAAGAGGGCATGTGATACTGATGCACTCTCCCCCCCTTTCCTTTGTGAGAACAGAGCTTCTCAGCAGGCAGACATCCCAGTTGCTTCGGTTTGAAGTTCTGGATGGATTTTGGGAAGTAAGAAATGACTTTCTGTTTTGTTTTAGTGTGTTAGCCTTCCTTATTTGAAGTAGGAGGAAGTGAAGTTTGGTTGGTGTGTTTTGGTTAATACCTAAATTGTAAAGGTTACTTGTGCAGCAGTGGATGAGGAGGCCCCGGGATCTGCTTTGTCTGTGTTTGTGTGTCATCTTAGACTCTAGTTTGAGATGAATATTGGGCAGATAGTAAACAAAGGTTTACATCTACCTTACCTTACCTTACACTAGCTCATAGTTCTTTCATGTAGTCTATACATAATGCAGATAAATGGTCTACATATCAATAATTTACATATAGCTAGTGTATCGATACTATAAATTTCCTCAATTCTTTTCAGGCTTATAATTTTCATTATTTTTTAGCCATCTGATATGGTTTGAAATGCGGATTTAAATTCCCCATTGTGACTTTTGATGTTTGTAGCTGTAAACTCCACTGCTACCTGATTCTGTGAGCTCTGACGGTGGGGCCGGCTGCCTGAAGAGGCAGGGCACCTGCCCATCAGCTCTCGTGGTCAGTCTTTGAGTGAACATTGGAACAGTGGTATATAGGTCTTCAGGAAACCAACTACCTGTCTGCTGCTTTTAGGACTACCCTTGCCCCTCTAACTCATTTCATAGTTACAAACTGCTCATGTTCACAAAAGAGTGGACCTTTTGGTCCAAGCCAGTTGAGCCTCCTGCTCGTGAAAAGAGACTCGAGAGATGGCAAGCCACACTTACACACAAGGCATTCTGCCACTCTTCACCCTCTAGAATACAAGTTTAGTGAGAATATAGCACACTAGTTTCCTTGAGTTCCTTGTAAAATCAGTGCACCAGCCAGCCTCCTTGGACTCTTTTTTCTCTGGAACACATACTCTCTTGGAGTGGCAGTGCATGATTGCTTACTCCCTTCTAAAAATCACTTGCTTGCTGTGGGGCAGGTACATACCACATGTGTAAAAATATATTTAAATGTATAGTGCCTTATACATTTAAACATTTTACTTGCTTTCAGGGACCTTATCAAGATTCAAAAGAAAGAACTACATCCTGAAAGAGTATTAAGCTCAGTAGAAACAGAATGACGGCAGTCCAGATTTTCATTGTAGCTGCTGGCACCTGTTGTCCTTTTGTACGGGTCCCCACTGGCTGGGAGCTTTGGAGTCTTCCTAGTCAGTCACAGTTCTGTACATACTGAACTAGCTAACCTAGGGGAAAATATGCTTTTGAAAAACATTTCAGTGCTATATTGATGAATAGATACCAACCTCCCCCCTCCACAAGGTGAATTATGTTCCTCTACTTAGTAGGCTCATAATTACCAGTCACCAAAAGTGAATCCCAGCACCAACCTGAAGTGAACTTGAACACTAACAGTTCTTCTTTCTAACATTGGTTCTGATTTTTGTTAGTTTTTTAAGTCTCTTTGAGTGAGATGGTATTGGCTAATGTCTTTGTTTTTTAAATCTGGTGTCCTTTTAGATTATACATCCAAAAACTGATGATCAAAGAAATAGATTGCAAGAGGCTTGCAAAGACATCCTGCTGTTTAAGAATCTGGATCCGGTAAGATAAATCTTAATAATATAAATGGATTTTTTTTCCCCCCAGTGACAGTGTCAAGAACTGTGCAGGGTCTTGAGTTTTGCCCTTTTTGTAAGCTGACATCACCCTGGGGTGATGGTAAAGGCCCCCTTGCAGATGCTTGCATGCACAGTAGGTTGAACTGCAGGAGAGGAATATTGAGTTTGGGGGACTATACTGCTGTTGGAGCAAGAAGTAAACAAGCCTGAGGTGTGTGTCCTTTGGAAGATGTTATCTCATCTCTCAAGATACTATGGCCCAGGTAAAAAGAGGTTAGGACCTTGCACTCTTAGCACCCAGCAGGGATATGCAGGGATGCTCAGGGCCCATGCAGGATTGTTTCTCTTTACAGCCAGTAGTAGTAATTATATTTGAATGTATATAAACTCTATATTATATAGATTAAAAGTAACATTTCACTTGACTTTAAGGTGAGGGTTTTTTGTTTGTTTGTTCGTTCTTTATAAGGATTTGGAAATCTCTAATCTTTGGGTTTGGTATTTCTCGAATACCCACTCTTGGTATGAGTGCGTGTGCTGTTCAAACTTTGCCTTGCACTGTGATGTACATGTTCTGCTTCCTTCATCTCAGATTATGCTTAGTCATTGCTATATAGTCATGTAGGAGCAAACCTCTGCTGCCATATTCCAAGTGTGAAAATAGAGTCAACTTTTGTAACTTACCTCCACTTTTTCTTTGGTCAAACTCAGCATCTTTGAGTTTTTGGTGATGTCCTAGAGGAGAAGCATTAAATCAAGACCTGCTCTTTTTAAAATGAGGTCTTCTTAAAAAGGACATTTTTGTAAAGATTCAGGTACTGCATCATACCAGTTCTATACTGTGTCATATTTACACTCAAATATTTTTAAAATCTCCTTTGTTTCTAGTATAATTTATGTTTATATTATGTCTTCCAGGAACACAGTACATTGTGTGACTTTGGAGATTTATGTTAGGTCCACACATTACAAGTTTGTCTGTCCGTCTCTGAGGCTCCATTACTGGCTTTGACAGACCTGAATTTGACCAGACCCAGGATCCATCAGTCACTTCATCTGTCCATTGTCTGAGGGCAGGAACTGTGTCTTTTGTATCTTTGCTTCACTCTTTATGTAGCAGATGGCTCGCGGCTCTCTACACGCACTAGGCTCTCAAAAGAAAACATGGGACTGAGACAAGAATGCTTTATCCTTTTGTTACTGGAAAGAGGTCCTGATCCAGACCCCAAGAGAGGGTTCTTGGATCTCGCGCAAAAATGAATTCAGGGTGAGTCCGTAAAGTGAAAACAAGCTTATTAAGAAAGTAAAGGAATGAAACAATGGCTGCTCCATAGAGACAACAGCCCCCAGGGCTGCTGGTTGCCCATTTTTATGGTTCTTTCTTCATGATATGCTAAACAAGGGGTGGATTATTCATGCCTCCCCTTTTTAGATCATATAGGGTAACTTCCTGATGTTACCATGGCGTTTGTAAACTGTCATGGTGCTGGTGGGAGTGTTAACAGTGAGGATGACGAGAGGTCACTCTCATGGCCATCTTGGTTTTGGTGGGTTTTGGCCGACTTCTTGACTGCAGCCTGTTTTATCAGCAAGATCTTTATGACCTGTATCTTGTGCTGACCTTCAGTCTCATCCTGTGACTTAGAATGCCTTAACCATCTGGGAATGTAGCCCAGTTGGTTTCAGCCTTATTTTACCCAGCTCCTATTCAAGATGGAGTTGCTCTGGTTCATGCACCTCTGACACTTTTCTAGTTATCTTAGTATACATATTTAATCCTAAATAATAGTTTCGGATAGATTTGTTATTTGTAATAAAATGATGGTGTTTAAATAATATCTAACTCAAGTCTTGTTAAAAGTTATGCCAGGCCGGGTACGGTGGCTCATGCCTGTAATCCCAGCACTTTGGGAGGCCGAGGTGGGCATATCACGAGGTCAGGAGATCGAGCCCATCCTGGCTAGCACAGTGAAACCCTATCTCTACTAAAAAAATACAAAAAAATTAGGCAGACATTGGGGCGGGCGCCTGTAATCCTAACTACTTGAGAGGCTGAGGCAGGAGAATGACATGAACCCGGGAGGAGGCGGAGTTTGCAGTGAGCCGAGATCTTGCCACTGCGCTCCAGCCTGGGTGACAGAGCGAGACTCCGTCTCAAAAAAAAAAAAAAAAAAAAAAAAGAGAGAGAGAAAAAAAAGTTATGCCAAACCCTTGAACATAATTACAGTCTCATGGTATGAATTCATTAGTTCAGAGTGGCCCTCATATATCCTTGTCCATTCATATTTCTTTGCTCAGTTCATTCAAGGCATATTTACCGAGTACCATCACTTAGCAGCAGTGGGAGTTAGTGCTGAGGAAGCAAAGGCCTGGTTCAGTACCCTGAGTTGATATCAAAGCTGGCCTGTGGATCACATGATCACATTGCAAATGAAGGACCAATGTAGTATTTAACTCTTTTGCTCCAGAGTCACACAGAAGGCAGTGGTAAAATCAATCCTTAGTTTTACACTTAGAGGTAGGCTTTATTCAAGAATTCTTTATTTTTTGATTAGAACTTTACATGGGAGAATTTCAGAGGTCACCAAGAACAGTGCTCTCAAGCTTTAATACGCTGATGTATCATCAGGGGATCTTGTGAAAATGCAGATTTGGATTCTCGTGGTCTGGAGTGGAGCCTGAAAAGTCTGCATTTTTCACAAGTTCCCAGGTAATGTTGATGTTCTTGACCCACAGCATACTTTGAATACCAAGGACTAGAGCTAAATGTGAAAATGTTCAAGTTCAGTATTTGGTTGCTGTTACGTATGTTATGTTTGCATGCTTTCCTATTCAGTGAACCAGTATTTTAATGCTTCAGCGGGGACTAAGTCGTGAACTTCTGATGTCTGTAGGGTTAAGTGATACACAGGCATAAATGAAGTCATTGCTAGTTATGCTTTCCTGGGATGTCGTTTTTTCTGTTCTGTTTTTTAAATTAAATTGATCTTCCTTGCTATTTCAACTTTAGCTCTTTAAAAGCATTGTGAAAATTTTGGTTGCATTTAAAAGTATTAATATTTAAGAAAGCTTTTGCTAATATAGTCTGGCAAGGAGCATCTTTGCTTAATGTGATTATTTTGTAAACATAGGAGTGTTCTAGACTTTTTTTCACTGCTTTGCTGAAAGTCTTCAATATGTATTTTAAAAACCAGCTCATAGCGGGAAAAAAATTCAGTTTCTGAATTGTCACGATCGAATGTTTTATAGAGAAGAAGCAAATGTATTTACATAGTAGTTTTCAAAAGACCCTTTTTTGAATTTGAGCTCAGACCACCTTGAATTACTCCCTTACTATTTAAATCCTTCCAGAGATGATATAGGATGTAAGTAAGTAAAATTTATTTTTCTCAACAAATTACCACCTGGAATAAGACTTTTAGCCCAAAACATGGCAGATTGGTGGTTTTAGTTTAAGCTCATACTATAGAACAGCTTTCTAGTTTTTTATGATACACATTATTTACAGTAACCCAAATGTGTTTTCATTGAATTACATATTCAGCTCATATAATCTGCTTATCATGCAGCTCCTTTCATTTTAATTTCTCGACTACTCACTGTTTCAAGACCTATTTAAGGTATTGGAGGCCACAGAGATATTTAGAGATGGTTGTTGTCCTTTTGGAATTTATAATTTAATGAGGGTACAAACACATCTGCAAAGCATGTTGGGAAAACATGATACATGCTGTAATATGGTCAGGGCACGGTGAGAAGATGTCTGTCTCTTAGCTTACCTTAATGGTTCAGAAAGCTGGAGAGGTCACTGAGCTGTGCCTCCGAAAATGAGGAGGGAATCACCAGGTGAGGAAAAGTACAGAGTATTATCACTAGAGCCTAAAGTGGCAACCGTCTGGTGATGGATGGCCTCCATCTAGTGATGGGAGTGATGGAGCTAAGATATGGGTGCTGTATCAGGAAGGCCCATTCTTTCTTCAATGCTGTGCTGTGGCACTGGACTGCCTTGTAGGCAATGGGCACAGCTGAAGAATTTTAGTCAGAGAATGTAACTATCAGATTTTTCTAAGGTCACTTTGGTGGTAATGTCGAGGAGGAGTTAAAGAGGGGAGAAAAATGGGGGAAGCAGACAAGAACAAAAGAGTAGAGCCCAGTAGAAAACCAGGTCATGATCTAGGGAAAAGAAATGGGTCTGAACTCCAGGGAAGGGGGAAAGGGACAGACAGAAAAGAAGGGTTTCACAAAAAAAGATTAGCAGAATTTGGTACTTGGTGATCGATTTAGTTGGGGACTGAAGGAAAGTGTCTAGCTGGAGTGACTATGAAGTTGCTACCTTTTCCTGAAATGGGAAAACTTGAAGGAGGAAGGGGAAACTACTAATTAGCAAGAAGAATGATCTTGGCTTTGTGTCTACTATCTCATTTGAATTTCCTGAAGTCATTATTTAGTTTGAAAATCTTGCACTTCCTAGACTTCAGAACATTTTTCCTTGGAGAGCTGTATATTCATATGTTGAGCACAGCGTTTATAATTATTAATCTCTTTGAAGATATTCTTTTCATGAATATTTTAATGCTCCACTCAGTAGGCCATTTTCCTTCTGAAATATTTCTAATTTGAGGCTAACTGAAACAGTTTTCTTAGGCTATATGATAGGCTCTTTCATTAATGAAGAGTAAATTGTTATTTCTTAAGTGAGTCAGAGCCCTTTACTGAGCTCAGTCTTGAATTGGCATTCTGTAGGAGAATTAAATGTGGATTTCCTACAGTAGTTGTCAGTCATCATGATAAGCCTCTGCATATTAAATATTTCCTAAGTTCTTTTCACTCTGTGCATAATTATGGGGAAATTACATTTTGATTGACTAGAACAGACACCTGTCTGTATTTTATCAGGAATTGCTTTTTCATATATCCATGTATGAATTCTTCAGTTCTATAATGTTTTCAAATGCAGCTAATTCCAACATCACAAAATAGTTA